GTGATTTAAGGTTGTGGACACACACACAGAATGAGTTTAGAGCAGGAGTTTAATGTTTAATAGACAAAAAGAACAGCTCTTCTTCATACAGAGGGGTCTTAAGTAGGTTGCCTAGTTATACTAAAATCTCAGGGTTTTTGTAAATGGGTTAGTGAGGAGGTGATGTCGTTTCCTCATAAGACCTGATGATTTAGTTGGAACCAGATATACTTTCTGTATACAGCGAGTTTTATCAGCTCTCACCTTATTCCCTGACCATGTAGGCAGACTTTTAGTCTATGCTGCTCTGTGCTGCTTTGTGTTGCTTATCTGGGAGAGGGAGTTTGTGTGTCTATTCCCAGACATCTTCTTGCAGCTGCAGGTATCTCCCGCACTTCCAGTTCTAGCTTCCCGATCATGCCTAGAAGGAAAGGAATGTATTTATTAAGGCCCACCGTTTTTACTGGGGCCCATTTGTAAGAGTGTGAAGTTTGGTGATTACCAAAGTAAGATCCCTCTTTCTGTGCTCAAGGTGTTTATGTGTGATTTACAGAGTGAATTTTTAGGCTGCCATTTGTTAGAGAAGAAGTGATTTCTTTGAAATTCACGAGGTTAGAAGGGAGCTATTTTTGAGTTTTTGTTAGAAAAAAGTTTCCTGCCACGGACTCACTTTATCCTGTCTACCCAAATAATGTCCATTTCCTATAATGTATTCTGCCTTCCTGGATGGAATCCCTGACTGCTATTAGGGGGAATTGGGTGATCATTTATTCTAGCTACTTCCTGATGGAGATGGGCTTTGTATAGGGAATAGCGGCTAGAATTCCTGGGTTGATCTAAGGGTCCTCATAGAAGAGCGGTTTTATTTTCAGCTCCATTTATAGCACCATCTGAAGGTTGATAGTTTCTATGCAAGCAGGATTAGAATATAGGGTCCAAATATGGGACTACCATTATTAGCTGGGGCACTATAGGCCATACTATATCAATGGAATTTGTTTGATACCTGTGAGCCATTTAGATGAGTTGTGCTGTTGTAAGCCTGTGAATGGGGTTGGCTTTGTTTAACTTACTTGGTCTTACATACCCCCTTAAAAAGAAAACCTGGGGATTATTGGCTACCTCACAGGGTTTGTAGGATAATTGCTCAGAACTAGAACATATATCTAGATAGTTACATCATCCATACCTTTCTGTTTCTTCTGAGTTGCAGTCAGAGATCACGGGTGGGTCAACAAGAATAAGCAGGATTAGTTTAAAATGTAGGCAAGTACTTAAAACAAAGAGATTAGAAATCAGTAACAGACATATGGTAAGTTTTAAAACATAGTATCTCTCTCTCCAGTCTTAATTTATGTTAAAAACAAATGATAAAACATAGTTGTTTGCAAAGTAGTGTGTAGTATGATACTTGGCCTGATTAGTTGCATAAAGTGCAGTAAGAATAACTATTTTTACATAGGCCTTTTAGATTGGCTTGGATTGGACTTTATTCCACAAGAAATCTAAGATAGTACTTTTTAAAAGCCAAGTCCAAATATGGATTTGTACCCTCAAATACCTCTAAGTGGGGTAAACTTCTTCTTTGGGTTCCATCATGGGGTTCCTAGGCCTGTTAGAAAGTGACATTCCTTACTCACCACAGGTCTGTAACCCTGTACAGAGACTGTCTAGACAAAGTATGAGGCCAGTTTTCCCAAGGTTCTTTTACTGGCTCTGCAAGTCACACCAGACTTCTTAAATGGGAACACAGCGTTTCATTCAAAGCCTTGGTAAAACAACCAGTTTTTCCAAATGTGTAATGTTTAAAAATAAAGTGGATTTTTTTGGACACTGATTTAAAAAACTATATTGTTGTAATTTAAGAATACTTTGAACTAGTTTTTGAATTTTAGAGGAATTAGTTGGGGAAAAATAAATACTCTCCAAACTTTGCTACAAGAATACGCTTTATTAGTTGTCAAAGCCTATATCTAGCTTAAGACATGTTTTCTTGAATCTGAAAAATGAAATAAGAATTAGCACTGTTCTAAGATAAATCAAGAATATTGTTTTAGTTTCTGATTAGTTCAGTCCATTCGCTTAACTCTTGTTCTGTTTGATATTCATAAACATTGCAGCTTTTTATGAGTCCTGTACATTTTTTTGCTATGAGAAACCTGCATGGGAGAGCCCTTCTTAAATTCCCATAGCTTGATTATAAACATCTTTTGAAGAGAATTAAAAGAAGACAACAATTAGCTGTAAATGACAAAATGTCCAGTTTGGATACAGTCAAAAACACAATTAAAAAATAAATTTGATTTTCTTTTGGTTTATGATAACCTAACATAACAACCTTAATTGTGATTAATAGCACATATTCAGACACTAGAACTTTAGACATTCCATACAGTTTTGGAACATATGTTAGTATTATTTTCTAAAATACAATACATCAAGGGTACTAGACATCATATTGGCAATTCCCTGTAATTAAACATGTTAATTAATCCAGTTTCTCTCTTTTATGAATGCCCCAGGGGCCCTCTGCAGCACCCAAAGCCAGGGGTTAATGGAAAGACAACTTTGAGACTAAAGTTTGATTTTGGGAAGCCTGTTAAATATATTTACAATTTAAAATATTTTATATTATAAAATAAAATTTTAGATTATCGTAAGTTGTTTTCCCAAAATAATGAGTTAAAATTTGAAAAAGCAGAAAATATTTATTAGTTTTTTCAGTTACAAGAAAATTCTGTTTAAGGGAGAAAATTAAATTTTACCCTTGCATTAGTTTGCTATAAATGTTAACTGTAATTTTTAATGAAGGTTTAGAAACAATCCTATTTAATTTTAAATAGTTTGACCAGGAAGTAAGATTTTTCACATACCTGTTATAACCCTTGACAAGTGCTAAAGAGTAGGTTAGCATTTTGAGAAAACCTTGTTATGCTTTTATTTTAGTGATTAATTTACAGAAAAAAAGTATGTAAAACCCTTTTGAATTTAGTTAATATGTTCACACACAGAGATTCCTTTGCAAGAATAATTTTTACAATGTTTTCACAATTTGTTTAAATTTTTTGCTTTATTTTATTTAAGACAATTTTTGTTTTATTCCTAGGAAAATTGTGCATTTCCATGCCTTCTTATATTCCTTAAGTAAAAACACCTTTTACTGTATTTTTTTCCTTACATCCATTGAATTCAAGTCCATGTTCACTAGTTTCAATAACATAATGGTAACTCTTAGCAATTTTTAACTTCAATATAAAACCTGGTAGGTTGCTTTATGTATGGGGTGCAGATAAACTTTGATTCCTTTCAGCATAGTTAGGAGCATGGTTACTTCCATATGTTCCCAGGCCCTACCAACTGTGAAGCAGGTAAATTGACAGTTTTTAAAGCCTAAAGAAGCATGGTGCAACCTTAACACACTTAGAAAACCTAATATGAGACCTCCATAATTTTGGTCACATTTTTGCACCTTGAAGACATTTGTATTTTATCAATAGTTTATAGGACTCTTTTTATCTTTAAAGTCACATGACCTGAAAAGTACTATGGCTTTTACTTTTCCCTTAAAATATTTTATTTAAGTGCTTAATGTTTTTAGGCTCATTAAGAGTTTTTAACAGACATCACACACATAACACATATATAACCACACAGAAAAATAAAAGAAGATCTACTAGTTATAAGATCACATCTGCCAATTTCCCAATTGGGTTTGTGTCCGGAATTGGTGGGTTCTTGGTCTCACTGACTTCAAGAATGAAGTCCTGGACACTGAGCGTGAGTGATACAGTTCTTAAAGATGGCGTGTCCATTCAGACCTTCAGATGTGTCTGGAGCTTCTTTCTTCTGATGGGTTCGTGGTCTGGCTGTTAGGAGTGAAGCTGCAGACCTTCGTGGTGAGTGTTACAGCTCTTAAAGGGAGCATGTCTGGAATTGTTCATTCTTCCCAGTGGGTCTGTGGTCTTGTTGGCTTCAGAAGTAAAGCTGCAGACCTTGGGGGTGAGTGTTACAGCTCATAAAGTCAGCATGGACCCAAAGAGTGAGCAGCAGGAAGATTTATTGCAAAGAGCAAAAGAACAAAGCCTCCACAGTGTGGAAGGCGACCCATCGAGTTGCCACTGAGGGCTCCTGGTAGCCTGCTTTTATTCCCTTATCTGACCCCACCCACATTCTGCTGATTGTTCCATTTTACAGAGCTGATTGATCTATTTTACAGAGAGCCGATTGGTCCGTTTTGACAGAGTGCTGCTTGGTGCATTTACAATCCTTGAGCTAGACACAGAATGCTAGACTGAAACCTTCTCCAAGTCCCCACTTAGCTAGATACAGAGTACCAATTGATGTATTTACAAACCCTGAACTAGACAGAGTACTGATTGGTGTATTTACAAACCTGATCTAGACACAGAGTGCTGATTGGTGCACATACAATCCTTGAGCTAGACACAGAGTGCTAGATGGAAAAGTTCTCCAAGTCCTCACTAGGTTACAGAGTACCTACTGGTGTATTTACAAACCTTAAGCTAGACACACAGTACCGATTGGTGTATTTACAAGCCCTGAGCTAGACACAGAGTGTCCATTGGTGTATTTACCATCCTCTAGTTAGGCATAAAAGTTCTCCAAGTTCCCATCCGGCTCAGGAGCCCAGCTGGCTTCACCTAGTGGATCCTGCACCGGAGCTGCTCGCCAGTCCCAGCCGCGCCTGCACCCCTCAGCCCTTGGGCTGTAGATGGAACCAGGCGCCACTGAGCAGCGGGTGGCGCCCGTTGGGGAGGCTCAGGCCGCGCGGGAGCCCACAGCAGTGGAGTAGATCAGACATGGTGGGCTGCAGGTCCGGAGCCATGCCCCGAGGGTGCAGCTAAACGGGAGGGAATTTGAGTGCAGCGCCAGCTGGCAGGCACTGCTGGGGGACCCGGTGCAACCTCTGCAGCTGCTGGCCCGGGAGTTAAGCCCCAGCTGACTGGGTCAGCGGCGCCGGTCAGCTACTCCGTGTGTGGCGCTGGAAAGAGAGAGAGAGATTTTGAGAGGTTCTTACTCACTTTTAATTCCAGGGGTTCCATAAGAAAAACAGAGATTTTTTTCACCAAAATTGGATTTGTGATGCCTTTTCTGTTTTCACGAGGAGTTACAGGCCATCAGAAGTCATTCTAGCGTCCTTCGTGCACGCACCAAGAGTGGCAAGACAAAGTTTAAAAAAAAATAAAAAGTAATTCAGTAGCTTGAGTGGAAACAAAGCAAAACAGTAACAACAACAACAACAACAAAAACCTTTTCCAGGAAAACAAGATTTTTGAAGAGAAAAATATAAAGGCCTTTTAAATATATCCGTAACTTGGGTTCCCACTTTCAATTAAGCCCAACACTCGAATGCAAACAGATTTTTAAAACAACAACAAACAACAAATAAACAAAAAACAACAAAAAACACTTTGCTCTACTACCTGTTCACAGTCATGTTCAGGTTCTCCAATTTTCTCTGGGAGAAAGTGGCTGAGCGCAGGCAAGAACTGGTTTTCAGTTGGACTGCAGATACCTTTAGCAGCAAAGCTTGATGGTTTGAGGAGGCAATTTTGTGTTAGCCAGAGCCTTTACTTAGAGGACAGCAGTTTTGCTATACTGTGTGCTGTGCAAATAGTTAAGTTATTCCCTGTTGTTAACATGGTGGCCTCAGGCACCAGCAAAGCCACCAGAGTAACTGCTTGGAGGTAGGCTGACCATCATTTAGGAACCAAGTTAAGTTCCTTTCTTAAGTAACCTACTGGCTGTAGAGTCAGACCTCAAGCCTTAGTTAATACTTTTCTCTTTTTTTTCCTTTATCCCCTCCCTTTGCCTCCCTTCCCCTCCCCCTTTCCCCTTCCTCCTTCCCCTTCCTTCCCCTCTTCTTTCATTTCCTTTGATACACAGACACTGAATGCTTTCCGCATGGGGATACTGAGGGCTGGTGTTTTAAGCAAGGCTTGCTTTAGCTGGTTAAAGGCTTTTTGAACCTTAGGATCCCAAAAAGGGGAGATGAGTTTTAACTGTCTGAGTTTCCCTTCTGAAGTGTTGTAAAGGGTGAGCCACTTCTCTGTGCCCAAGTAGCAGTCTACAAAATCTAGTAATGCCCATGAATCCCCATAACTGTTAAAAAAAAAAAAAAAAAAAAAAAAAAGGGGGCTTAATCTTTCCCTTACCTGGTGTTCTGGTTCCTCCGGATACTAGGTGCTTTAATGAAGTCTGACAGAGTTGAACCCTATATTTTGAGACCTTCTATTCCTTTTCAGCTAAGAAACTGAGGAGAGTCTTAGTGCCTTCCTGAGACTTCCTTGACTAAGGCAAAGAGGAGAGTCTCACTTACACACTGCAAGATGCTGACTGTAGGATGGGAGAACTTAGAAAGGTCCTTTGACAAGGCTTATCCAAACAAGTAAGGGCTGTTTTTAAATTCCTGAGGTAGCACCATCCATGTCCATGTTAACTGGCAGTTTCGGCAGGAGGGACCCTTACAGACCAAGATGTATTGAGAGTCAGGATGTTATGGTATGCAGAAAAGAGCATCCTTTAGATTTAGGACTGTAAAACATTTAGTTCCTTCAGGTATTTGGGTCAGCAACATGTAGGAATTAGAGACTACTGGATGTATTGGGACTACAGCCTCATTAATGAGGTGGTGGTACTGAACTAACCTCCATTATTTATTGGGTTTTGAACTCCTACTATGAGAGTGTGGCAAAGACTGTTACAGGGTTTGAGGAGGCCTGAATTTCAGCTTATTACTAATAATAGCTTCTAGCCCTTTCTTGGCCTCTGCCCTTAGCAGGTGTTATCTCTGGTTATGAAAACAAGTCGGATTTTTAAGGTGGATCTGAACTGGCCTACAGTTTTAGTTAGACCTATTCTTTCTTGAGTTGCCCGCATTTTGGATTAATATTAGCTTCCACTAAGGAAAGACAAAGAGTTTGTTCTGGGGCCATGAGGATGCCGGCCCCCATGCAGGCTAAAATGTTTTTACCTCATAAAGGAGTGGGACTTTCAGGCGTAATAAAGGAGGACTGTGTAAATAATAAGTCCCTACAACTACCACTAAGTAGTGAAGAAAAATATCAAGTTAAGAGTCTTTTTTAAGACACCCACCATTGTTGTGCTGTGGGAAGAGGGGAGGCCTGGATTGGTGAGGAGAACAGAAAGACTGGCTCTAGAATCCAGTGGGAGGCTTGCCCTCCTCCCTTCAATTTCCAGAATCACCCAGGACTCCTGAGCAGTAATGGATGTTTGAACCACTGGAGCCAGGGGTTTGAGCCTCAGAACCCATCAGTCTTGCTGGAGCATCTGTGACAATGACTCTGTACTCAGTGACCTCTGTCTCTTTTGGCAGTAGTGCAATCTCTAGTAGTCTTCACCACAGGCTGGATGGGGTCAAGGTGGCTTTTTCTTGTTGCATGTGCAATTCTTAAAGTTCCCTGGCTTTACAGTGGTAACAGGTGGCAATTAGTGGATGCTCCTGTGGGATCCTGGATTTAGCCACTAGAGCCTCAGTCTTTCTCTTGTGCTGTATTTTTCTCCTGGGCCTCCTCCCAGTCCTATTGTAAAAGACCAATGAGTCCACATTCAGAAGGTTCTTCAAGATACAATCTGGTCCTATAGCCTGTTTCTGTAGCTTTCTTCTAATATCAGGAACTGCCAGCTTTTCAGGTTTGGTATAGGAGCAGCATAACATTCCTCCACTAGAGGTTGAACACTAAGTTAAATTTTGGAACGTCTCCAAATTATCCAGGTCATCAGAAGAAGATCTGCCCAAGTCTCTATTTTCCTAAGGTCCTGTAATGAAAGGAGAATGTGTGTTTTAGTGGTGACCCTTCCATCTGGCATTTCTTATAGGGGTAGGAGTGAAATTGGGACAGTGGAGAGGTTTGGAGATTGTGGAGCTGGAGGAGATTTTGGTGCCGTTAGAGGCCCTGGATAAGAGAAACTGAAATAACTCGGGCACATAGAAAGCACCCCTTTCAGCTCCTCTGAACTTTCTCTTCTGACTTAGGAGGACTACTCTCCACAGACCTGACATATGATTGCCAAAAGGGGTGAGTCAATTGTGAAACACTTGCAAAGGTCTGGGTTGTCTCACAGGGCAAAGAAAACCTATTCATATCAAACTTCGGATCATTTATTCTCCCATCGACACAAAAGATCTAATTGTTGGATAAAATTAGAATCAAGGCTCTCTTCAGCTGGCCAGGTCTGTTTATTCCTGAGATGGTAAGAAGTCCACACCATTGTGCAAAAGAAAATGAGCCATTTTTATTCAAAATTCCAGAGTCAAAGGAGTCCCAATGCTTCAGAATGCACTCCAGAGAAGTGCAAGCTGAAGAGGGCTTGTTACCCATCGAATAAAGAGACAAAAGAAGAGGCATCCTTCTGTCTCTCAGTTCTTTTTAATGTGACCCAGGTTAGAGGGGAAGACCACTGGGGGAGTACCCCTGACCTCCCTCCTTGGTCTCTGGGTCCCAACACCATAATTGCCATCTCATGGTTGCAGGTGTAACCCCCAAACATGGTACTGAGAGGTGAAGCCAGCTGGACTTCCTGGGTCGAGTGGAGACTTGGAGAACATTTCTGTCTAGCTAGATTGTAAATGCACCAATCAGCACTCTGTGACTAGCTACAGGATTGCAAATGCACCAATCAGCACTCTGTAAAAATGTACCAATCAGTGCTCTGTGTCTAGCGAAAGGATTGTAAATGCACCAATCAGCACTCTGTAAATATGTACCAATCGGCACTCTGTGTCTAGCTAAAGGACTGTACACACACCAATCAGCACTCTGTAAAATGAACGGACCAGCACTCTGTAAAATGGACCAATCAGCGCTCTGTAAAATGTATCAATCTGCAGGGCATGGGGAGGGCCAAATAAGGGAATAAAAGCTGGCCACTCAAGTCAGCAGCAGCAAAGGCTGTGGAAGCTTTATGTTTTCGCTCTTCATAATAAATCTTGCTGCTTGTTCACTCTTTGGGTCTGTACTACCTTTATGAGCTGTAACTCTCACCGCGAGCATCTGCGGCTTCATTCCTGAAGTCAGCAAGACCAAGAACCCACTGGGAGGAACAAACAACTCCGGATGCACCACCTTTAAGAGCTGTAACACTCACTGTGAAGGTTTGCGGCTTCACTCCTGAAGTCAGCAAAACTACAAACCTACCGGAAGGAACTCTTGACACATCTGAACATCTGAAAGAAGAAACTCTGGAAACACCATCTTTAAAAACTGCAATGCTCACTGCGAGGGTCTGTAGCTTCATTCATGAAGTCAGCGAGACCAAGAACTCACCAGAAGCAATCAATTCTGGAAAGAGTACCACAGTACCAAATCAATGGGGCTAGTAACCTTTATCCATGTGACTTCAGCCTTTTTCCTAATAATAAGGTAATTATCCTCTGAACTCTTACACTTGTGTGACTTGTGTGGCTCCTTGATAGATGGGCCTTGGGAGAGATTATGGAACAGTTGCATTCGAGCAAGGCCCCTTAAAAGAGAGAACGTACTGAACTGAGAATGTTTAGGTTCTAGTTAACTTTCAGATATAAAATTCCCTTTCTAGTTAGATGCCATTCTCGTTGTAGGCACTATAGGTGACTAAGAGAACATAAGTGTCAAATGATGGCTTTCCTGCTAATGCAGGAGTATTAAGACTAAAATTTGATTTTGGAAGATATGTCCCTCCTTACTGCTGAAAGAAGAACTAAAAGGCTAGAGGCTTTTGGCAAGGGGCAGACAAGATTCCCCATGGAGAGGATTCCTGTTCCACTAGGTGGCACTGTAAGCATTGAAATACCAGGCAGTAACTTTGTCTCCACATGCTCTCTAAACAAAGCAGGGAGAGGGAAGTTTTTAACTTGTAGCTAGCTGTCCCTATAGCATAGCTCCTAGAAGAAAAAAGATAACTCACCTCATAGAGGGACCATCCAGTCTGACTGGTCAGTGCTGGCTTCTCACACGGAAACCAACAATAACAAAAACGGCCTAGGTAGAGAAAGGGGTGTTCAGTGATGGTTGTGGGGGAAGGAGTAACCTCCTACCCAACCCTAGGAAAGGCTATTATTAGCAGTTAAACAGTCTTTGAGATCTAGATTATAAATCCTCCTGTCTGCAGCAAGTCATAAAAAACTGCAGTCCCTTTACCTGCATTCCTGGTTGCTAAGCCTGCTAATTGGATTATTTCATTGCTTTGTAAAAACTCCTGCGGCATTGCATCCAGAGAGGGGATGGGAAACATGATGACCTCCAAAAGTAAAAGAGGCAAATAACATTTGCAATAGGAAATCTTTGAGATCCTGTGGCTGACACCTGGTTGGGTAGTTGGAGGCTGGGGTCAGTCCAGAAACCTTTGAATAACACTGGGGTGTAGCCATGGTCAGAAATTCTCAATTAATTCAAGACCTATTTGAGCCCCATGCAACAGCCAAACTCTCCATGAAAAGAACCTGGTTTGGACAGAGACTACATTCCGAGCACCCTGAGAGCACTAAGGGATTGACTAGGTCCTTCCCAGTAAGCCTCACATCTGAGTCTTCAAGACTAGCCCTTGTGGTTAATTAATCAGCCATCAGATGCTTGATGTTTTTTGATAGCTCTTTGAGATAATAAAAACTGAGTACAGGCTAGCAGCAGTAGCTCATGCCTGTAATCCAGGCACTTTGGGATGGCTTGAGATTAGGGGTTTGTGACCACACTGGCCAACATGGTGAGACCTCATTTCTACTAAAAATACAAAAATGAATCTGGCATGCTGGCATACCTTTGTAATCCCAGCTACTAGCAAGGCTGAGGCTGAAGAATCGCTTGAATCCAGTAGGCAGGAGATTGTTGCAGTGAACCGAGATCATGTCACTGCAGTCAGCCTGGGGGACACGGTGAGACTCCGTATTAAAAAAAGAAAAAGAAAGAAAGAAAGTAGTAGCTTTCTGTATGCTCATAGTCTATGAGCAGTCTTTTTGGAAGTTAACTATTGGCCCTGGAAAAAGGCACAAGATTAAGATCCTGCCAACTTTTATAACAGTAACTGAATTGATGCAACGGTGTTTTCCATTTAATTAACAGAGACAGGAGAACTTAACTATTTTCCCAGAAGCAGATGTTAAGGGTACTTACTGTCTGTCAACTGTAGGCATTTATTTCACATAAAGGTCTCCTCCATAAGAATATGGAAGTCTTAACACATTTAATCTCCATTGCATTTAGCAGATTCTAATTTCAACTTCTAAACTTAATCTAAGGAAGCATTTTCAAATGGCCCTTAAGCACAAATGAAATACAGGCCTGGAGAAGCAAACAGGTGAGTGGTTAGCATGTACAACTTTTGCCTTTTCTGCTGGGCACCTAAGTATGTGATTGTTGGCCTTTTCTTTCCTGAAGCTTCCAAGAACATAGTTAAATAAACTTGTAGTAAGGGCCTCACAAAGAGGAGTCAAAAGATTGTTTTAATTGTTAAAGGGTTAAGTATAAAATAGACTGTAGGAAGGAGAAAAGATGAGTTAAAAGGCAATATAATTAATGTATCTCTTAGAAAAATAAAAGCATTTGGTAACAATACTCCACTTCTGTTTTATTCCATTTCTATGGAATTGTTTGTTGTACTCATTCGGGATACTTTCTGCTGAAAAGGGGCAGAAATATTGGGTTTCAAAGTGGAAATGATCTATTTGAAGTTAGAAGTATTCATGAGTATAAAAAATTTAGAGCTATCTGTTAGATCATGAGGATGCCAGGTCTGCAAGGTCTCTGAAGAAGCCAGTCTTGTAACCCCATACTGAGGGTGCAACAACAGTACAATCTGCAGTGCAGAAGTATGACTCTTCTTGCAACCAGGTCAAAAGGTAACAGCAGCCCTCACAAACAAAATTTTCTGACCTGATAAAGAATTCTAACTATTTATTTAGTATGAGCAAGGAGTCAGACACAGCTTTAATTTGTTGGTCCATATCCTAGGGCTGATAGATTTTCTAAATGTTCTTGAATGTACACACAGAAGTTAGTCTTAATTATTTCACAAAGTTCTCATGACCAATCATAAGTAAATATGATGAGAAGTTAGGCAGAAAAATAATGTGTTGTCCACCCTGTCTACTTTCGGAGAATAAATCAGATTAAATAATTTTGCCCCACACAAAAGGTGGCATTGCAAATGAGCTGGTAATCTGCATGTGAAGAAGGCACTCAAATTTTTAATAAGAGACATTTCTGTGGAAATAAAAGAAATATACAGTTTAATGTCTGACCAATTTATTAAGATGTCAAACTAAAAGCATTATTATTTACAGAGAAGGAATATGGTGGTGGTTTAACACTTTTTGGGGGGCCTCTTTTAAAAGGAATAGTGTAGGAGGGTTTTCATGGAGACCAAATCAGAAACACAAACACACACACACACACACACACACACACACACACACACACACACACACACGTATATATGCACGAACTTGGTAAGTTTAGTCCAAGAAGCACATAGCATTTAGTCTAAATGCTGGAAAGTAATAAAAACTCAAAAACAGCGGGCAGTACTAGAATCTAACATCTTGTGTACTGGAGTTTTAAAATTATCATCCTCTCTCAAGTTATGCTTCTTTTATTATAATTATTAGTTTTATACATTACTTTTTAATTATCCTCTTTCAGTTCCTGTTTTTATAAAAGACAAATAATAGTAAGGGCAATTTGTTCAAAAATTTAGTTTTTTGAAATTCTACTTTGCCTGAGTATTGGCATTGAATGTTAGAATAAAAGTTATTTGTTATAAAGCCTCCTCTTAAATTGGCTTTGCTGGAACTTTGTTTGATTAGGATCACAGATTAGACTTTCCAAAGCCTTGATCTAAGCCAATGCTTTGTATGTGAATGCGCATACTTGTGTTAATTGGGATACTCCTCTACTGAGGGTGCCAAGATAATTTGGAGATCCTGGGCCTGTCAAAAAAGGGCATGATTTAACCATCAGAGTTCAGGAAGCCTGTAGAGGAATACCATAGACAAAAAATAGAGATAGCTTTTCCAATGGGCTTTTAAAAACTGTTTAAGTCAACTTTGATTTTTTAAGCAGTCTCTTTATATCTGAAAGTATGCCATTGCAGAAAAAAACTTTGGTAAGATAACAACTGCTTATAATGGCATTTTACAAGTCTAATGGAATGTATTCAAATAATTACACTGCTACATATTAAGTACAGTTAAATATAGTCCTCATTTTCTGGGGATATCTGGTAGAGACAGAAAAAGACAAATTTTCTCAAAGTAATGAATCTTATTCAACGTTTATAAATTGCAAGTAGCTTAAAAGAAAAGAAAATATCTATTGAAAACAAACCAAAAATAATAAAGTGATTTAACAAAAAGTTATGAAAGTTTAATATTGTTAGTTTTGTCATTAAAATATACTCCCTGTCTGATCAACATTGAATCAACAATCCTCAGGTATATTTTAATTCTACATGACAGTCCTGAAAGATTTTGGTTCCATTTCAATGGCACAATTCTAAACTTATGAGGAACCCATTCTTATGTGCACTCCTTAGAATTTTGTAGCTGTTTACACACTGCCCTATAAAACATCAAAGAAAAGGAGTGATTGTTGATGACAAAATTGTTAAAATTTCTATAACTATATACACAATCAACTGTAAATCTCGGTTACATAAGTGGTATACAAATATTTTAAGTAATATTTATAATTACAACTGATAACATATACTAAGAATAATTATAGGACACATAGTAATGGCAAATCTGTATCAATATAGTTCAAAGAAGCTTAAGCAGCATTATATTAATATAGTTCACAATGCTTTCTAAATATAATTAATATGTCAGATAAGCAAAATAAGCCTTTTTTTTAGGACTTTAGGCTACCTCATATTCAGAAAGGAAATAAATAGATCAGTAGAGGCTTGCCTTAGAATTAGACTTTTAAAACTTTTCAAATATAAACATTTTAAACATTTGATGTTACAAAACCCAGAAAAATGTGTCTTAAATACATAAGAAAAGTTTTTACTTTGTTACATGGTAGACTCACATTTTTTTGAAGGGAAAAACTGGTCAAATAAAACAATGTGAGACAGATAATCTGTATTTCTTCTCATTTTCTTTATCATTTATCCAAAGGAAAACAAAATTATTGTTTACTTTTTCATAAATATCTGGTTTTAAAAGGTAAGCAAAATTTTACATTTGCCTTAGTTTACTATTAATGTTAAACTTGATTCATAGTACAACCTTATAAACAAATGTATTCAGCATTCTTTAGTTTCATTATAAAGTAAGATTCTATAAACCTATGACAACTTTTTATAACTTCTGTGGAAGAGTTGACAAATCTCTGTAAAAACAACTTCAAAGGACTTTAGAAAAAAAAGGTTTTTAAAAGTTTCTTTACAAAAACCAAAGGCAAAAATTTTGGTCCCACATTACTGTAATTGTATTCTAAGGTTTTATACAAAGAAAAATAATTAAAGCCCCTTAACTTCAGGAAAACTGCTCCTAGCCACAAAGATTTTTTATTAATAAAAATTTGTTACAAATCTTTTTGTAACTGTAAAGCCAGATTTTACAAGCAGAGTACAAGAAAGAAAGAAAATAATGAAAAACACCTTGGGGTCACTTTCTCTAGTATTTTGTTTACTTACCTCAAGAATCAATTTATAAAAATTGGCTCAGCTGTTAATATTTAGTTCAATTTTTAAAACGGAAAAATTAGTGAGAACTCTCAGTGTTCCAGGTAGATGACTCTCCCAGATAGGAGGGTGAAACAAGAGGTGCAGAGTAGAGAAGAAATTAGTGTTCATACAGAAATTTATGCATTCACAAATTCAAATAAACAGTGTGCTTCAAAATGAGTCCCAAATCAATAGTTTGGGTAACTCCTTGAAACTTCCTCCCAAGTTCTGAATTGCTCCATGGACAGCTGAGTCTCAGTCAAGCGAAGAGCTTCAGTGCTGCTGCATATGCCAATAAATACAAAGGCATAAAATGTTCAAATAGTTTTTTGAGAAACCTATAGTCAAAAATTGCATGGACAGAGTGACACTCTGAGAGAGGCAGAGGATGGTCAAATACTTATTGAAATCATATAGCTTATTTCCAAATTTAGTCATCTTTTTGGAGGTCACTTTCTTCCTCAGAAGAGTGTTGAAGGGAGTAATAAAAAGGAGGTGTGCCAAACCATAAATCATTTCTGTCAGTTGTTGAGAATTTTCTGAAAATTCTCATCAAAACAGTCAGCCAGGTATGAGCAGCTGTCACTCCTAAGTGCCCTCATTTTTGCTCAATAAAGTTATCTGTCAGGTGCAGACTAATCCACAGTGTGCAGTTCTGCATATGGGCCACAAATATTGTGACTAGAATGCAGATTCAGTCACTTGCTGCTTGCAGAGTCAAAGTGACAAGAGTGATATATAAAAACTCTAGTAAAGAGCAAGTTCCTCTTTAATTTCAAAAATGGCCTAGGGGAATAAGTGCAGGCTTTCTGTCTAAGTGTATGACTTTAGATTTGGAACAGAAAGGGTGTGCTTTTAAAGGGGGCCTAATCTAATGGTCATTCAGATGAGGGAAAGGAGCAGGTGGAGTTTACACTGCTAGCCTAGTGCCTTATCTACAGAGCAATTTACCAGGAGATTGTTGGCATTTTCCTAAGTCAGGATATTTCTATTGCTAAATTGACAGATATTTCTTAAAGTATTCTGCTCATGGGAGTGTGTTTCATAGAAATTTAGTGTTTTATCTTCAGACAGTCTCCCGGTAGGTAAGAGTTCTTTTTAGGAACTCTAAGAGGTGAACTAGCCCTGTAGAAAGCATCTACGAACTGGTAGATAAAAGGCCACATCTGCCTTCCTAGAGGGCCAACTAGGAAATGGAGAACTAAAGAAATAAGAAAATAAGAGAAATAAAAAAATAAACCATCTCAGCAAAGTGTGGGTAGACTTCAAATTATACAACAAGGCTTTATTTATCAAAACAGCATGATGCTGATATAAAAAAAATGGCACACAGAGTAATGAAACCGAATAGAGAACCAAAAAACAAGGCCAAATACTCACTACCAACTCATGATTGACAAAGCAAACAGAAATATAAGTTAGGGAAAGGACACCCTATTCAACAAATGATGCTGGGAAAACTGGCAAGCCACATGTAGAAGAATAAAACTGGATCCCATCTCTCACCCCATGCAAAAATCAACTTATGATGGATCAAAAACTCAAATCTAAGACCTAAAACCATAAACATTCTTGAAGGTAACATCAGAAAAAATCCTGTAGGCATTGGCTTAGGCAAATAACTCATGATTAAGACCCAAAAGCAAATGCAACCAAAACAAAACTAAATAAATGGGACCTAATTAAACTATTTCTCCACATCCTCTTCAGTGTTATTTTTTTTTCCTGACTTTAATGATCACCACTCTAACCGGCATAAGATGGTATCTCATTGTGGTTTTGATTTGCATTCTTCTAGTGACAAGTAATGAGCTACAGCTTTGTCAGACACACTTGTTTTTTATTTTCCCCCGAAAATATCAGAGACTTTCAAGGACAATATTATAAGCCTAACACAATCCAAAAAATTCTGTGGTTTTGCTTCTTCAAATGCATAAAACAATACCACAGAGATATAATGAATGCTAAGTATTAGCCATTCATGACACAACCAGAGAAATTTCATCAGACTTCAAAGAAAAGACAAAAAAATCAGAGACCTAGAAATTGCCTGAAATATAATTAACAATAATTTTGTCAAAAAGAACAAAGTAGAAAACCTGCAGCTGTGTAATATATTCATGCAGTTTAAAATATCAATACAAAATTGCAACAGCATAACTAATCTGGTAGAAGAATTAAATGGCCATCTCAAACACAGATTGTATGAGTTTAACCAATTAGAAGAACAATTGACATGGAAAAATGAAATAACCGTGTCTATTAATGGATGCCTTAATTTGTAAAACTACACCAATTATAGAAATATACAAAAGAGAAGAATGAGACAAAGAAGAAAAGTTATCAGAATTTTTATTGTTCACATTCCTAAGTTTAGAAGAAATATGAACTCAAGATTTAAAATCTCAAAGATTATATCAAGATGAATTTTAAAAGTTAATAGTCCTAGATGCATTTTAATCAAGTTATAAAAGGTAAAATTTAAAAAGTAATGTGAAATCTGTTAGTGGGAAAACTCAACCCATATAAGTGAGCTTTATCTGGGTAATTCCCAAATAGGAGATAGTGTGATGCCATATTAAAAATGCTAAGATAAAATTTAAAATATTGCTGCCTAAGAGTAGTCTAGACTGCACAGGTATGAAAAAAGGCACAAAAAGATTTCAGTTGAGCTTCTTAAGCCTTTCCTAAAAGGCAATTTGCTAGATAATTAACTTCTAGATCCATTTTTTTCTCTTGAAAACTATTTGTGTCTCAGTCCTGAAAAGAAGACATTTATGTGGCCAAAAAACACTGGAAAAAACCTCATCATTATTGGTCATTAGAGAAACGCAAATCAAAACCACAATTAACCACCACACACCAGTTAAAATGGCTATCATTAAAGCCAGGAAAAAAAAACAGATGCTGGAGAGGATGTGGAGAAACAGGAATGCTTTTACACTAATGGTGGGAATGTAAATTAATTCAACTATTGTGGAAGACAGTGTGGTGATTCCTCCAGGATTTAGAACCAGAAATACCATTTGATACAGCAATCCCATTACTGGGTATACACCCAAAGGAATATAAATCATTGTACTATAAAGACACATGAACATGTGTGTTTATTGCAGCACTGTTCACAATAGCAAAGACTTGGCAACAACCCAAATACCCATCAATGATAGACTGGATAAAGGAAATGTGGCACATATACACCATGGAATATTATGCAGCCATAAAAAGGGATGAGTTCATGTTCTTTTCAGAGACATGGATGAAGCTGGAAACCATCATTCTCAGCTAACTAACACAGGAACAGAAAACCAAACACCACATGTTCTCACTCAGAAGTGCGAGTTGAACGATGAGAACACATGGACACAGGGAGGGGAACATCACACACAGAAGCCTGTTGGAGGGTAAGGGAGTAGGGGTAGGATAGCATTAGGAGAAATACCATCATCTACCTCATGTAGAAGTATTATAAATTTTAAAAAATATATTCTATAGAATATATTTTATTATATATAGAGTATATATAGAATATATTTTATAGAATATATATAGTATATATATATATAAGTGTATATATATACTTTAAGTTCTGGGATACATGTGCAGAACAAGCAGGTTTGCTACATAGACAAACGTGCCATGGTGGTTTGCTACACCGATCAACCCATCATCTACATTAGGTATATGTATATACTTTATATATAGTATATATATGTGTGTGTGTATATATATATACATAAATATATATACTGGCTGGCTTTGCAACCTGCTTGCTGTATACCTCCAAGGGACTTGAGCAACCATAGGCCATAGTCAGAGTGTGGTTACAGCAGCCCTTGGGTGAGACACAGTATTGTGCTGGTCTGACGTCTGACCCAGAGCAATCCTGGTTGTGGAGGCCACAGGGATGCTTCTTTCACACCACCAGAAGCTCCGGGTGGCTTAGAACAAAGAAAGTCTGTTAAATTGGGAGAACATAAGAAAGACTACACACACACACACACACACACACACACACACTCACACATTTCTCCAAAAAAAATAAAATAAAATAAATAAAAATTTTAAGAAAGCACAATACACCAGAGAATCCCTTCTATGGCTGCTAGGATGATTATAACAATTCTTATGTGTTAAAGATTTTATGAACCCAACCAAGAACAATTAGGGAGATCAAAGATTAAGCCAGATGAAGAGCCTACCTATAGTTATCAAATAGCCTGTCATTTAATCTTCTGTAACTGTGTTTCTATAACACCCAATCTATCCAGGTGCAAAAGCAGTGTCAACACTGATAAGCATCTACTTTCATATAGGTACATCTGCTGTCTTTTGATTACCATTTACTTTGAATATTTTTAATCCATTCACTCTCATGTTTTGGTGTCCTGAAATCTAAATACAGATATTATCTTGGCATCAATTTATTGGGTTTTGTTCCTTTTTTATTTTAATTATTTTTATTTTTTACCATTTCTATTGCATTGGGTCTTTTGGTTCAAAAAATAAATCTATATATACTTAAAGTATTTATTATTAATAACTTGCTACAGCAATTTTCTTTTAAAATTTTGCCTGACTTTTGCAATTGTTTTGTTTTATTCCAATTATCTTTCTTGATTTTGTTTTTGCTGTTGTCTTATTCCAGTTGTATCTTGTAGCTGTTGTTTTGTTGCTTTTGTATATGTAATGCAGAATTTTTTGTGGTAACAAGGAGTATTATCAAAAATGTCTTGTAATATTCTAATTCAAGATGATCTTATTTTATTTAAAGATTAATATGGTTTTTAATATGGTTTTTACATTCCTTCACACATTTTATAGTATTAATGTTCTACTATATATCAATTTATATTAAGAATCTATTAAGCAACTCTTTTTTTTTTTTTTTGAGATGGAGTCTCGCTCTGCCGCCCAGGCTGGAGTGCAGTGGCCCGATCTCAGCTCACTGCAAGCTCCGCCTCCCGGGTTTACGCCATTCTCCTGCCTCAGCCTCCCGAGTAGCTGGGACTACAGGCGCCAGCCACCTCGCCCGGCTAGTTTTTTGTATTTTTTTTAGTAGAGACAGGGTTTCACTATGTTAGCCAGGATGGTCTCGATGTCCTGACCTTGTGATCCTACCGTCTCGGCCTCCCAAAGTGCTGGGATTACAGGCTTGAGCCACCGCGCCCAGCCCTATTAAGCAACTCTTTACAGGTATATTTTATTGAAACTTTTTAAATTCTTATCCCAGAGTTACTAGTATTTAAATTAGATAATAGGTTATTTACTGTAGATTTCCACATATTATAATTTCATGTATTTTTTTTTTATCATTGATTTGTTTCAAACAGTAAACCCCCTTAGGAATTTATTGTAAAGCTATTCACAAGAAGATGAACATCCACAGCTATTTTTTCTCTTTAAATGTGCCTTTTAAATATCTGACAAAGAGCTTTACAGGTTAGATAAATCTGAGCTAGCAATTCTTTATTTCTTTGGCACCTTGAATATGTCATTTCACTTTCTCCTTGCTTGGGGATTTCTTTTATAAAGTGAGGTGATAACCTAATGGAAGATAATTGGTATGTAGCAAGTTTCTCGTATAGCTGCTTTACATTTATTTTTATCTTTTACTGTTTACAATTTGATTATGATGCTCCTTGGAGAATAAGATTTTTTATCTTGATCATGTTTTTTTGAGTTTCATGAATTTCTAAGTTAATATTTTTCTTAGCATTTTAGTTGTGTTTCAACAGTATATTTCAGTACATTTTCTGCTTTTTTGTCTTTCTCTTCTGTCTTGGGTATTTCATAATTTATCTTTTCATACAATTGACAGTAACGACCCCACAACACTCTTATTTTTATTATTTTCCAAATGTTTTTGTTATTGTTGTTGGTATTTCAATTGGCTGAATAAACCTGGAGAGCAGTTTAGGCCATCCTTGTGAGCCCAAATACTGACCTGGTCCCAGAGACAGTGGACTGGAGGGAACATGCAACCTGCTGAGACACCAGCTGGGACAGTCAAGGATGTGCTGACATCACTACTCCACTAACCCTAGGCTGGACAGCTCATGGCTTTAAAAAAGACACCTTCACTCCACTTATGGAGAGGAGAGGGGAAGAGTTGGGAGGAGTTTGTCTTGCATCTTGGATACCAGCTCAGCCACAGCAGAATAGGATACGCGTCAGTCATGAAGCTACCATTCCAGACCCTAGCTTCTGGACACATCCTGGGATAGAAGGAAACCTGTTGTTTTGTAGGGAAGAACCCATTCCTGGCAGCATTCATCACCTGCTACCTGAAGAGCCCTTAGATCTTGATTAACCATCAGCAAGATCCAGGTACTACACTGAAGGTGTTGGGTAAAATTTTAAGACTTGTTGGCTTCAGGTGAAACTCAGCACAAGCCTAGCTGTCACGGCTTCTGGCTAAAATCTCTTCTGGTTGAGAAAAGCAGAGGGAAAAGCAAAAGGGGACTTTGTTGTATACATTTGATATCAGCTGAACTACAGGGGATTAGAGCACCAAGTAGGATCTTGGGTCTTTCATTCTAAGACTTCTCTATTGAATGGAATTTCTAGACCTTCCCTGGGCCAGAGGGAAACCCACAGCCCAGAAGGGTAAGTCTCAGGCCAAGAAGCATTCACTAAGAGTTGATTAAGAAATCCTTGT